CATATCGTTGAATAATGACGAGAATCATTACGATTGCAACGATAATAATTAAACTAATAATAATAATAATGACGACGGTAATGCTAAAAAATAGCAAGATAAAAAGCAGCGTAAACAGAACTAATGCGCTCAATGCAAATGAAACGACGTGATGAAACAAAAACAGAATGAACAAATAGTAATCGCGAACACAACTTCAATAAAATCAATTCAATTCATACAAGTGACTATAAAATTAGTAAGTAAATTACATAATATTATACAATCATTCAAACCAAAACAAAGTAAATCAAACGAGATTTCACACTCCCCAAAATCGCGTATCACCATTCAATAACAATTTTCGGTGATCGTGCTGCTAATATATCCTTGTCCTTATCTCCTTCAATCTCGATTGTTTATTTCGGACTTTTTGAGTGTTGGATTAGCCATTGAAGTGTGATATCTGAATGGTTTACACAACACATTATCATGCCCAATTCATTCACTGCTCGAAAATCAATAGAACACAAAATAGAACTGATGAATAAAANACACAACACATTATCATGCCCAGTTCATTCACTGCTCGAAAATCAATAGAACACAAAATAGAACTGATGAATAAAATTGGCATTTGTTTTATCATTGTAAAAATCAATAGAAAACACTCACCTATATTGTCTTTCTCTTTACAAGATATCGAGTAACAACATATTTCACGGTTTTGAATCGCTGACAGGTTCCTAAAATCGAAGAAACTCTTGAAGAAAAGCGAAGCAACCGATGTGATAATTACCATGAAGAGAAAAAAAATGAAGGCATTGAATCAATCAGATTGATACTGAGTGATAATCGAGAAAATATATTTGTGATGAGTTGTTGTAAATGTTGATGAATCAAATAATGCTTGAATTAGGCTCAGTGAATTCAAGCGGAATTCACTCTGAAAGAAGCGAATAAACGAACGAACATGCGCTCGATAAGTTGTCTCTCATCCAGTGCACCAGGAAGATCTTTTTTATTGGCCAAAACTAGCACCGGTATGCCGTCGAGCTGTGGTTTATCGAGCAACTGCCCCAACTCATTCCTTGACGCTTCTAATTTCTCTTCATCCGCTGCATCCACCATGAACACGATCGCATTCACACCTCTACAGTAACGTTCCCACATCGAACGAAATCTTGGTTGACCACCAATATCCCATAACTTCAACAAGCAATTCTCAGTTTATGAACAACGCAAAGCACTTATAATCATCAATATCCTATGAGTATAACGACTAAATCAATTTTCGCGACCTTCTTCTGAGTACAGGCACATGTGTCAAAACTTTAGCAGCTTGAATCTAATTCACAATTTACGATTATCTAGGCAGCAAGCTTGCTCTCAGTTGCTATTCATCTAGAATTCATACTATTACAGCAACACAAAACCTTCCGACGAAAATTATTTTTATAGATAAATAAATTATTTTCGTGATAAATTCCTCATTCAGATTGAATCGGAATGGTCTCATTTAGACCCAACGCAAATGAATATAAAATATTCAGCTTTAAAGAACTTGGAATCCGTAATGCCCAAACGCTCGCAACAATTCAATAAGAAATTTTCATTATTGAGAAATCGTTCAAAAAATAAAGAATCAACAGGCATAAGCAAACCCAAACTGCAACACATCTAAAACTTCATTAATAACCCACAAAGCAGTCCAATCGAAAAAGCATTAAACTAACTTTTATTGTGACATTACCCTTCGTTATTTTACGCATATTAAACCCAACCGTTGGTATCATATCTTCGGTGAATTGACCGCTCTAAAATTACGACATATTCACGTTAAAAAACAACAATACAAATGTGAACTGATCGCAATTCAAAAACTAAAACTCTCAAGTTTGAAGGCACAACACCTCAGGCAACTGGAGGGCCAATTAAAGGAAGTTATAATGAGCGCAAAGATTCAACTGGTTTTGAAAAACTTAAGAAATGTATTCGCTACAATAACAAATACCACGAACAGTTGAATGATATCTACGTTGTGAACAATGCAATGGAAGAAGAAAATTACCGCAATGACGTTAACGAACGTCGTTTTGCCGGAGTTTTGCAGGCCGACCAATGTCAGTTCCATTTCCTCTTTCCAGAAGAGGCTCCGGATCCAGTCCAGAACACGATTTATCATAGCCAACATTCTGCCTTAGAAATCTCAGAGCCTCTTTGTTAACATCCAATCAAACTGACAATGTAAATCAACTATCAATTATGTATTATCTATTGAAGTGGATGACAATTCATGAACAAAGCACCGATTAATGAAAGAATCGATAACCGCGAATATATGCTATGAAACTCAACAATATCAGAGCACCATTTGCGTTCAAGTTGGAAACACGAAAACTGCGGCGCGTAGCAGAGAGAGGTTACCCGAACTGAAGGTGTGCGCAACTTTAACTGCTGAATAAAACACAATGAATCGTCCAAATAAACTATGAATCATTCAATGAAAAATCAATACAAATTAATAGCTTCAAGTGTGTGCAATCAGTGCATTACCAATACTCGTAAACTCCGTACTATCATTCGTCAATCCATGAGCGTAATCCATAAGACAAACAAAATCAAGCTGAATTCCGTCGCAAGCAGCATGAAACGTCGTGGTGAATCCAAATCAATTATCAACGAGTCGAATCGCTTGCAAAACATCGTTGCATGTTCTCCTATTGATTGTGGCAACTACACATCAATTTTAACTTTAAAGGCGTATAGCAGCTATGTAGCCGTCCATCTCAACATAATACCCTCACGGCAATGAACTGAAATAAATGCTCGAGATTTTCAAGCAAAAACAACCACTGCATAATGCAAACATGTGAGGCGTGATTCATTTGCAAAGGATCAAAAAGTGCTGTCAAAATTCGGACGTGTGAGAATTAGGAAGCAGTGGCGGATCAGTGTTCAACAATGAAATTTCAGGCTTTATTAATTAACTCATCAGATCCTAGTTGAACCGTAGTCATTCTTGGATATTCTATCCAATGGTTGAGCACTTCATTGATTCCCAAGTTTTGTGTGGTGATACGTTCAGAGCACCTCGATTACACGTTCGGGATTGACCAATAACCAATTATGAATGGCACTTAATAGATGATTAACAAAACAATCTGAGAATCAAATGCTTTGTCGAGTGAGCATCAATCCTTCGTCGACATTTGCATATGTCCATCTCAAAGGTACGCATACCCTCAGATTCACAACACTCACGTGATCCTCTCGAAAATTTGGAATTTCCATCAGCAGGGTGTGTATTCAGCAGGAAGATGTGTTCCTGTTAAGTAACGTTATAGCACTAAAAGATAGGGCATTGGAAATAAATTGCTTATTGTGAACTTGTATGATTCAAAATTTGGGGTTTTTGGAATTTTTTTGCGCATAGTGCGGAGTTTAGGAAATTCTTATCAGCAACATGGATGAGACCTGTGGAATTGATTTTGTCAGCTGCGCTAACAGCGGATTTTTTGGCAAAACATAATGTTAATAGTTTATGATTGATTCCTTCACAAGGTTTTAACTCTGCCTGATTTCTCCTCATCCAGAAACCAGAAAAGCCTTGGCAAAGGAATTAATTTGGAGAGGGAAATGTGTACGACTGAAAATGTTATCATATGAGATATTTGAATTGTTAGCATTATGAATAATGTTTACTGATAAGTTATATCATTCATCAACAGATAGACAAATCGAGAGTAGGTCACACCAATTCACTGATGATATCAATTTGTTTGCCGTATGATAATCGCCTTTAAGTAATCTGCGTTAATATTATCATTATTGAAAGTGAAGCGATGTATCACTGACGACAATGAATGGAAGTTTTGATGGCCTGAAGAGAGTCTATTCATCGACCAATGCAAAAACTTTAGTGGTGATCATTTCCGGATTGTTTCATACTAATATCCGAAGCATCGCAAGAGGGAATCCATCCTCGAGTTCTCAGAATTTCAAGACGGCAACCATCTGACTGTTTTGATTTGTCATCCCCTTATATGCACTTCTATATTTTACAATATAACCTAATCTGTTAGCTGCACTGAAAAGGCGATATTCTTGATTTGGTTGATGAGCGTTCTATTGCATCGTGGCAACTTGTTCCACCAATCCGATGANGCACTGAAAAGGCGATATTCTTGATTTGGTTGATGAGCGTTCTATTGCATCGTGGCAACTTGTTCCACCAATCCGATGATTTGCAATGAATGGAAGTTGTGGATTTTTATAATGATTTACGTGTTTTTAATAGTGAAAAGTTCACTTCGATAACATCCGTTTGTCCCTCTCGATAATTAGCTTGCCGTATAGCTGTTCCATGACCCGTTTATGGGGTGTTAAGTAATTTCGTTTTGAACGTTGAATAATTTTGTGTTGAAATTGTTTTCATTAAATTTCTATCTTGTTGTAATTTCGTTCGGTTTCAGTTTGTCGTCTTGGTCGATTGATAAGTAATAATGCTTGGTCGTGGTCGAGCAGGTGGCTCGGGTCGTGGTGGATCCTCGAAGAAGCCGACTGTATTGCCGAATTTGGCAGTGGCAGGAAAGCGAGAAAATCGAGAACAGCCAGAAACGAGGTAAGTAATGACTGTTCGAAAACGAACTGATTGATCCCAGAAATTTGTTCATTTGAAAATTGATGTGCGAATTTTGCTCGGTTTATATTCGTTAAATCTGAACTATTGACGGTAGATTGCTTGGTTTAGTGATTAATTGATTGCAGTGGTAGAGGTTCATCGAAAAACACAAAGCGAGGTCGTGGACGAGGTGCAGGGGGTCGTGGAGGACGGGGACGTGGTGGGGCGGGAAATCATCGAGACAGTCATAAACACGTATTGATTGAACAAGTCGGTATCTTCTCGACTGGTCTTAATGACGATGGAAGGCACGATCGATCAAAAACGGATGATTTCAATGGTTTGCCATTAAATTATTTCTATAGGTTCATTTATTTTTTTGCGATTCTTAAGCTCTTCATTCTTCACGTATTAATTGTTTCATTATATCAGAAATTTTTATTTGGAACAAAAGTGAAAGAATTCAACTCCATTATGTGATTTTTTCCATGAAGCATTTCAGAATTC